CGTCACCATACCTATACACCGTACTCGATCATTTAGCATTACAATTAATAACACTCTAATCCTATTCCCTCAAGCCAAAGTTAGATCAAACACTTACCTCGGTCCAAAGAATAGCAATCAATCCTCAAATACCGCCTTTCCTCTACAATCCGACTCCGAAACAATGATATCTAGGCATAATTAATTCAATAGTATCAATAAGGACTCACTGGCAACATCCCATAGCCTAGCTATGAATTTCCTAACATTCTTCCAAAAATACCAAAAATCGACCCCGGGCCCGCTTGGTCAAAACACGAGGTTTGAACCAATTCCATGTCACCCATTCCCCCATGAGCCCGGATATACAATTTATTTTCAAATTCGACCCCAAAACGAGGTCTAAATCAAAGAAAATTGAAAAGCCCTAATTCTTTCCTTTTCCCCAATTCTTACCATGAACTACATGATTTAGGTCTAGGAATTGATAAATGATGATAGAAAATGAAGAAAACTAGTTAGATAATTCTTACCCAAGAAGCTTTGAGTAAGGATAGCTCTAAAAATCGCCTATGTGCTGTGGAGAAGATGAACTCGTGTGTTTTGGGTGAAAAATCCCGTTACTGGTCTGTTTTTAGGCTTTAAAAATAACTGGGCGAATGATCTAGAAAGGAGAGCATGTGTTTACGCCATGAAACTCAATGAAAGTAATACTCAATTAAACCCTACGACATATAATGTTACATTATTCAATAGCAATAATTGTATGGAGTAGAGCCTATCTTCTTTTTATTGGAAACTTTTCATTTTTGCAGCGATAATTATTTATTTCTTATCTCCTATTTATAACTTAGTCGGAAATATAATCAATTGTCTTACTACAACGGCCACAATATACTCATACAGTTTTCTTTTTCTTCTTTCAGACAATTCACTAAATCCATGGCATCATCTTCTTCTTCTTCTGCTGCAAATGTAAAAAGCTCTTTTTTATTACTATTTAGTACTTTTCAATACATCAGTTCTCAGAAATTTAAATAGAAAAATTTAAATCTTAATAAACTTCAAATTGGAAAACAACACATTCCGTCTTATTTCTAGGCCCACTTATGTTTTCAGGGTATGCACAAAGAAAATATAAGGTTCAAAATAGACGGTAGTGCTTTTGATTGGTTATTATCTTCAACTACAATATAATAATTGAGATTGAACGAGCTAACTCGGACAATATAATCATATCAAAAATAATAATAATAAAAAACCAAAAAATATTTTGCTGGACGAAGACTTTATCAGACACCGTAGAAAATTAAAATAGAAAAACGAAATTCAATCTATGAGGTCCTTTTTCTTTGGCAGAGAAGAGAGAGAGAGAAACGTTTGTGTTTGTGCTTTGGAGCAATAATTCAATTCAACTGGGAAAGTAAGACTCTTTCTTTGTAGCTTCATCCACTTGTCTTTGAAGGAATTTCCTTCTATTAAAGTTCAAAGAAAATCCAATAGTAACAAATCCAATAGTAACAATAATTCACGTCAATGGACTATGCATCAGTTGACTAGGATTAGAGCAATAATTATTTCATTGTTGACCAATCTTTTATTTTCCTTGGCACAGCTTGTACTTCCATTGAATTGAGAGATCGAATATCAAATAGAGCAAGATTCACCATTAATTTATNACACTCTAATCCTATTCCCTCAAGCCAAAGTTAGATCAAACACTTACCTCGGTCCAAAGAATAGCAATCAATCCTCAAATACCGCCTTTCCTCTACAATCCGACTCCGAAACAATGATATCTAGGCATAATTAATTCAATAGTATCAATAAGGACTCACTGGCAACATCCCATAGCCTAGCTATGAATTTCCTAACATTCTTCCAAAAATACCAAAAATCGACCCCGGGCCCGCTTGGTCAAAACACGAGGTTTGAACCAATTCCATGTCACCCATTCCCCCATGAGCCCGGATATACAATTTATTTTCAAATTCGACCCCAAAACGAGGTCTAAATCAAAGAAAATTGAAAAGCCCTAATTCTTTCCTTTTCCCCAATTCTTACCATGAACTACATGATTTAGGTCTAGGAATTGATAAATGATGATAGAAAATGAAGAAAACTAGTTAGATAATTCTTACCCAAGAAGCTTTGAGTAAGGATAGCTCTAAAAATCGCCTATGTGCTGTGGAGAAGATGAACTCGTGTGTTTTGGGTGAAAAATCCCGTTACTGGTCTGTTTTTAGGCTTTAAAAATAACTGGGCGAATTTGCCCTACGCGATCGCGGAAATAGGGGTGCGATCGCGAAAGGTCCCACTGACTGGTCATCGCGATCGCGTGGATGGTAACGCGAACGCGTAGAAGAAATACTGGGGGTCCAAAAGTTTGGTCTATGCGAACGCGAGTCTACTGATGCGAATGCATTGAAGGAAATGCTGAAGCTATGCGATCGCGTGACCGAGTACGCGAACGCGGAAGAGGAAAAAGCCAAAGGAATGCGAACGCGGGCTGAAGATTGCGATCGCGAAGGAGGGAACAACTGTGCAAAAGTTGCAGATTTTCTGCAACTTTCTCTAAGGCCAAAAACATCCCGAACCACCTCCGAATCACTCCCGAGCCCTCGGGGCTCCTAACCAAACACACACACTAACTCAACAACCTCATACGAACTTACTCGAGCGATCAAATCGCCAAAACAACATCAAAATCAATGAATCAAACCTCAAAATCATCATTTTTCATTCTAACTTCACAAACTTCAAACTTTAGGTATTTAGGCCCGAAACACGCCAAATGACGTCCGATTCCGACCAAACTTCACAGAAAGCGCTTAACACCTATTTAAGACCTGTACCGGGCATCGGAACCAAAATACGAGCCCGATACCATAGTCTTTTAATCAATTTTCATTTCCATTTTCCTTAATAATTTCAGAAAAATAATTTCACAGAAAAATTATTTTACTCGGGTTCTAGACCTCGGATTTCAACTCCGGGCACATGCCCGAGTCCCATATTTTTCTACGGACCCTCCGGGACCGTGAAATTACGGGTCCGGGTCCGTTTACCAAAAATGTTGACCGAAGCAACTTTAATCATTTTAAAGCCACATTTTGAAATTTTTCACAGAATTTAACATATAATCTTTCCGGCTACGCGCCCGGACTGCGCACGCAAATCGAGGCAACTAAAGGTGAGGTTTTCAAGGCCTCGGAAGCACGGAAAAAGAGAGAAATCCGGTGATGATCCTTTGGGTCGTCACATTCTCCACCTCTAAAACAACCGTTCGTCCTCGAACGGACAAAAGAAAGAAGTACCTGAGTCGGGAAATAGATGAGGATAACGGCTCCGCATATAAAACTCGGACTCCCAGGTCGATGCCTCAGGAGGCTGACCTCTCCACTGGACACGCACTGAAGAAAAACTCTTCGACCTCAACTGTCGAACCTGCCGGTCTAGAATAGCTACTGGCTCCTCCTCGTAGGACAGATCCTTGTCCGACTGGACAGTGCTGAAACCTAACACGTGGGCTGGATTGCCGTGATACCTCCGAAGCATGGACACATGAAACACAGGATGCACGGCAGACAAGCTGGGCGGCAAGGCAAGTCTGTAAGCCACCTCTCCCAC